GAAGCCAAGGAAGACGCAGGGAGCAGCACGAGGGGACAGCTTGTCCGCAGACAAGTCGCGGACAAACGCCCGAGATCCCCAGACACGGAACGCAGACGCATCGCCAACCTTCCCCGTCCACAGCAAAGCTGGGGAGGTCTCCGGCATGGAGACCCTGGGGTGAAGGTTGATCTAATGCGTCGCATACAGAACCGTAAACGGCCACAGAAAATGGGGGGCAGCCGCATGCATCATGGACGTATGGGCGACGTCCATGACCATGCCAATGCGGCGCTCAGCAATCCCGTTTATCTCTGGAGAGTCCGGAAGCGTGAAGGTCTGGCGGATGCCTCGTGCACGACAGTAGGCTCGCAGAAGGCCAGAGGAGAACTCTCCGCCTCTGTCAGAGTGCAGACGCAGGACAGGAAAGTCCAAGCCGAAGCTCTGCTTGAGCTGGAGACGAGCTGCGCGGATCCAGTCGATCAACACCTCAGTGACATCACCCTTGCTGCGCAAGGGGAAGACTGCGGTGTAACGCGAGTAGTCGTCAACCACCAGCAGGAAGTAGCGCTCGTGACCCTGTCCACGGACGTGGGCCGGGCCCCACACGTCCATGTGAAGCGTCTGCAGCGGGGCCTCTGTCGGAGGAAACTGGGAGGAGTGAGGGGCAGCCCGCTGTCGCCCCTCGACATAGGGGACGCAGGTAGGGGCAGGCCCCGGAGGAAGGGGAGGGAGGGACCGGGGAAGACCAGAGACAAGGACACGGGAGGCCATGCCTCGGAGATGAAGCAGGGAGGGGTGACCAAGGCGGTGGTGCCAGAGGAGAGTCTCGTGAGACAGGAGGCGACACGAGCAGGGGGCGGACTCAAGACCAGACCTGGACGCTGCAGCAAACACCTAACCCGACGCAGCTACCTGACCAGACGCAGTGACTAGAGGAGACTAAGTGGTCAGTGTGTACAGGTTCGACCCCGGCCGACGTGTAAACGTGGTCAAGGTCAAAGATAGCTACTCCTGCCCTAGACAGCTCGCCCTAGCGAGGGATCTCAGTGGCCTCAAGGAACTTGTGACGCCAAGCGTTCGTCAGGCGCCCAAAGCAGCGCTGGGTGGAGTGCGCACCCCCGCACTGCTCACCCGCGCAGTCGCCGGTGCGCAGGACGTAGGTGCACGGACCAGTACCCCCACCCCGCTGGCGTGCAGTGTACCACTCACGAAGCTGCTGAGGGGGGGGGGGGGGATCTCACGAGTGCGCTGCTGCTGCTGCTGGCGCTGACCACCACCGGAGCCGACCCTCTTCGCAGCGCCACCCCGACCAGCTCCACCTCCTCCGCCGCCGCCTCCTCCACCGCCGCCACCTCCGCCACCTCCGCTCCCACCGCCACCACCGCCGCCGCCTCCGCCTCCACTGCCGCCACCGACGCCTCCACTCCCGCCACCACCCCCACCGCCACTCCCACCCCCTCCCCGCCTCCACCGCCGCCTCCACCGCCCCCGCCAGCTCCTCCAGCGCCCCTGCCCCCCTTGCCCTTGCCAGGGCGGCGTCTTCCGCTAGGGGTAGACGCCGCACCGACCGACTCAAGACAAACGAGGTCTGCCTCAGCAGCAGAGGCAACAGAGGGCAAGAGAGGAGAGGGGGAGCACCCCTCAAAGACAGGGGCGCGAGGGTCACCGCGAGAGGCTCCTACAGCGACTATGCTCTTCTCTGCTGCTAGGAGGCGCTCCTTGAGGAGGTCAATGGTGAGGGTCGTGGGGCAAACAGAGAGAAAGTGGTCCCTGACCGGGCGAAGTGTGTCAGGGAGCCGGGTGACTATGTAGTAGAGGGTGATGTACATAAGGGGGGGGGGGGGGGGGGGGGCAGTTCTTGGCGCAGAGATCAGCGGGAAGGGCAGCGCGGTAGCGAATGTCACCAGTGCGAAGGTGCGTAATGAGGTCAGCGACTATGGGAAAAGCTGCGATGTCAGGGAAGAGGTACGGCAGGATGAGGCGGCTAAGTATAGCAGAGGCAGGGGAAGAGTAGCGTGCAACTACAATGTCGTACAAGGTCTTAGCACTCTTGTACTGGCTAAAGTGCGCACGCTCAGAGGTAGGCAAGTGGCGACGCACAGCAAGACGTGCAGCATCATCGCGTGTGGCCCACTGTGAGCGAACAGTGGCGTCAGCATTAGCAGCAGGGGCAGGAGAGGCACCATAAGTGAGGTCAAAGAGGGAGAGACCGTCTGCCCTATCGCACTGTAGGAGAAACTGCAGGTCATCTACCCAGACGTCAAAGTCAATGGCCCGACCCTCAGCGTCAAAAGTGAGGACACTGGGGGTAGCCATGACAGCAGTAGACTAGAAGCGCGAGCAGTAGGCTAAGGGCAGTGCAGTGGCAGAGGTGTTGCTCTTACCGGGCAGGCGAGAAGGACCGAGGCTCGCCATCAGGAACGGGGCCGCGACCGCAATGACAGGGTGTGGTGGACAGGGCGGCTTGGCGGTACCAGCGACTCAGCAGCAACGGCGGCTTTGGCGGCTCGGCGGCAACGGCGGCTCGGGCGGCTCGGCGGCAACGGCGGCTCGGGCGACTCGGCGGCAACGGCGGCTCGGTGGCTCGGGCGGCTCGGCTGCTGCAGGGGCAGCGGCTGCTGGTGCAGGGGACGGCGGTGGCCGCTGCTGCAGGGGCGGCGGCGGCCGTTCCCGCAGGGACCGCGGCGGCCGCTGCTGCAGAGACGGCGGTGGCCGTTGCTGCTGGGGCGGCGGGTGCTGCTGCAGGGGCGGCGGCTGCTGCTGCTGCGGGGACGGCGGCCGCGGCCGCTGTAGCGACTGCGGCTGCTGCTGCTGCAGAGGCGGCGACGGCGGGCCAAGAGAGGCCGCAAAGGACGGCGGACGGGCCGTGAAGGGCGGCATGAGGGGCCGCGGAGGGCGGCGACCGGCCATGAAGAGGCCACGAGGAGGGGAGGGGGAGCGCAAGGGCGGCACGAGGGGCCGCAAAGGGCGGCTCGAGGGGCCGTGGTGGTCGGCGACGGGCCGTAAGGGCGGCGCGAGGGGCCGCGAAGGGCGGCGACGAGCCGTGACGGGCGGCGCGAGGGGCCGCGAAGGGCAGCAACGGGCCGTAGGGGGGCCGTAAGGGCGGTGCGAGGGGCCGTAAGGGCGGCGCGAGGGGCCGTAAGGGCGGCGCGAGGGGCCGTAAGGGCGACGCGGGGGGCCGTAAGGGCGGCTGGAAGGGCCGTCAGAGGGGCCGCTAAGGGCGACGCGAAGGGGCCGTAAGGGGCCTAGAGAGGGCGCGACGGTAGGGAGGGCACGCGGGGCGCGACTCGGGCAGGAGCGAAGCGCGCTCCGGGCAGGGAAAAAAAATCGATTGGGTGGGCCCTAGGAGCGTTCCCACGAGGGAACCCGCTCTGATACCATGTGAAAATTATGAGGAATGAAATGACGAAGGGAAAGTTGGGTACAAGTACAAACCCTAGAAAACTGTACCCCATATGTGCTACTCCACTATAGCCTACAGCAGCTATGTCATATCAATATTATTTTTCTTGCCATCAGGTGGTATTATACACTTACTGGTCGTTCCTTCGTGCAAGACGAGTCCTGGCCTTACTGCTCCTCAAAGGTGTGTCTGGTTCGTCATCTTGTTCGATGCAATAGACAAATCACAGCAGGCTGCTGCAAAGAAGAGGAGCCAGGATCTTCCCCGTCTAGGTATTTTCTTTTCGCTTTCCCCTTTTGAAACAAATAGAGACACTGCCTGAGTTGTTTGGCAGGTCTGGGACACCAGTGCAAAAAGGTTTCGACACTTGAATTTGAATAGTGGACCCAACACCGCAAGGACCATGCGGTCCCCAATCGCTGTTCAATATACTTGCACTGGGGTGCGTCCTGCCTACAACCCCAGTAACATGGCTTTTTTTCTGTTGGAAGCATAATTTGTGAAGGTGGAACACTTTAGAGTGAGTAAGGATATTTTGCGCGACGCCAGAAATCAACCTCTTATCAAGTGTGAACCACGCCCTGTCTACCTGGCCATAAATCCTCTTCCGGGGACACTTTTACTCATCTGAAAGCACGTATTACATCGATAGAGTTCTTGTAGTTGCAATTGCAACAGGAGCAGTGGTGGCAGAGGAGGGAAGGGCCGTTGACGAGGGGAGGGAGGAGGGGATACTGCAAAGCATGGAGGATGGGGATCATGACAGGGAAGCTAACATCTATTACGATGCCAACCATGTAAGTCCAACCTCCACATTTCTGCTAGTGTTGCTTTCATGAAGCAATTTGGTTGCCAAAAATCTCACAGACCCTTTCAGTAAGAAGAATCTCTTAGACTCTGCATTTGTGCCCTGCTGGAGCTGCTGCTGGTAGGTATACCTTGTACTCGGATTTTTTAAATCAGATGCACTCACTTGTAAGTGTGTTTAGGGTTTACACAGGGCAAGCAATCATGCGCCAGCTGCTGCTCCTCCTGCTACTACAGCCAGTCGTGCCACAGCTAGTACAACCAGTCGTGCCACAGCTAGTACAGCCAGTCGTGCCACGGCTGCTACGGCTGTTTGACCTACAGCCATTGTGGGTCCTCGTGCGGCGTCCTCTCGTGCCCATCACGCTTCTGCACCAACTGTCCGGCATGCTGCCGCCTCTTCATGTAACCTACCTACATCCCCAATGGTTGGGGGTTGGGGGGGGGAGGCTGGCAAGGTCAGGAGATGGGGGAGGTTGGAAGAGGGGTTGGAGGGGACCTTGGGGGGAGAGGAGAGAGAAAGGGAGAGAGGTTGTGATGGATGGGATTCCGATGTCTGTGCTGTTTTTCACCATGGTGCCAGAGAAGTGGGCTCTGCTGCTGTCGGCTTGTCATCCCACGGCAGTCACACTTTTGAATTTCCAGTTCCTTAGAAGAATGTAATGAGCTTGCCATGAGCATTACTTTCTTGTGGTGGTTTTATTGTTTTTTGTATCCCACTTCTTTTCCCAAAGTTTTCCCACATTCCGTACCAAGTCACTGTGTCATGTTTTCTCATGCTCGTTTTCACGCTTGTGTGCTTGCTCCCATGTTCCAACCCCATGTTGCAGCCCATGTTTCTCGCCCTTCCTCTCAACGTGTTGCATCTTCCTCTGCCACTCGCGCTACAGCCGTAACTACTCCTTGCACCACGACTCGAGCTGCTTCCCGTGCTGCCACCCGGTCCGCTTTGGCGCCTCACACTACTGGCATCACTGCCAACCGCATCACGAGGAGCACGACCACCCACACCACCGGCGTCACTAGCATCCGCACCATCAGCACTACACATGTCCGCACTAACAGAACCACTGCCGCTCGCATTACCGACACAACTGCCGCCCGTATTATCGGCACAACTGCCGCCCGCATTACCGGCACAACTGCCGCCCGCATTACCAGCACAACTGCCGCCCGCATTACCGGCACAACTGCCGCCCGCATTACCGGCACAACTGCCGCCCGCATTACCGGCACAACTGCCGCCCGCACCACCCGCTCCATTTCCGCCGGCACTACCAGCACCGCTGCCACCCGCACCAATGGCTCCTCTGCTCCCCGCGCCACTGGTACTTCTGCCACCCACACCAACAGCACCACCGCCGTCCGCGTCGCCGACACCATTGCCGCCCGCACCACCAGCAGCACTGCAAGCCGCACTGACAGCTTCACTGGCACTGGCAGCACAGTGACTTGTTACGGAGTGGCAGCTGCCTCTGGTGCCACACGGTCCGGCTGGAGCAGTCCGTTTTCAGCTGCGGATTCGCGCGCCAACGCGTGTATTGTTGGAGGTAAGCCTTGGGCATGTGTGTCCGTGCGTGCAGTCACAAGCACTGGAGGTAAGCCTTGGGCGTGCTGGTCATGGTGGTGGTGCCTGTGAAGACAAGGCACTACAAGGCACTACAAGACAATGCTGAAAAGCATGAGTAGTAGGGGGAACAAGGAGGGCCCTCAAGGCGAGATGGGAGGTTTTTCTTCCATGTGCTTGAAAGTTCACTTCCATCGCTCGGTGCTTGCCGACCTCCTCAACCCGGTGCATGCATCTACTCCATCTACGATATGGTGGGAAACCAACTGTTGCAACTCATTTTTTATCAATCCATCAAGCCATCCTTACCACTCTCTTGTTTTCCATAACCTGTTGTGGCTCCAGCTGTCTCCTCCCTCTGTGCCATTCCATCTCTTCCCTTCTCACCATGTTCACCATGTTCACCATGCCTTAACCATTCTCCCCTCCCAACCCGTCTATCCATTCTTCCTTTGTGTGCTTCCCCCCCCCCCCCAGCTGAGAACACGCATGCTGAGTCAACCTCCTCCTCACACCAGGGGCAGTGACACCCCCTCTTGCACCCATTCTGATCTGATCTGATCTGATAAGATCTGATCTGATGTCATGTATGTCAACCAAGTTGTCCCAGTGTCGCTTGTAGCTGTGTGAGCTACTTGTTTTCGTTACATGCTGATCGTAGAGAGAGCCTATTTCTCTGACTATGCACTGCCGGTATCACTTCAAATGCTCATGGTCAAGCGCTACACACGTTGCTACCGCATAATCACTAATGTCGACCTCACATTTCTCATTACGGTAATAGTCATACGGTACCAGTCACAAAGCACGTCCGCTGCACGTCTGCTGTTAGGTACACCATGCGATAAATCAAGACGTTCCAAATAATTAAGTCTCAAAGTAGGAACACAATGGAATGGATGAACTAGGGAAGCAAAGGATACAAATAGCAACCCTATAAGTGTTGTACTCCCTAGAGTGCTATTCACTGTAGCCTAAGAACCTATAATAACATTTGACACACACCCATCGGCTAAGTGAGGGGCATCAAAGCAAGCAGGGTGAACAAACAGTCACAAGACCAGTCAATGCAAGAAGCAAAGCAAGCTCAAGGTGGATCTCAAGGACACCACACAAATTCCGAGCACAACCAAGCGGCCACAAGGCCAGTTCAAGAGTTCACTATGATATATATAGCAAAGCACAACAAGCAGAGCAAACAACAAGTCTAAAGCAACCGAGGGCCTACCTCAGCAAGCCCCAACTGCACACAGAACCTGTGGTGGTCACCAGGCGCCAAGAACTTGGTGAAGACGTCTGCAGTGTTGGCCTATGAGGCCACAAAGTCCAAGCGAGCCTAGCCGCGCCGTTGCAACTCTCGCAGGAGGAAGTGCCGCACGTCAATATGCTTAACCCTGCTCTCTAGTCGAGGCTCTCGACAAGAGGATCATGGCCTTGTTGTCAGCGTACAAGGTCGGTGCAAAGCGAGGCCGCTCACCAAGGTCAGCGAGCAAGAAGGTCAACCAGCGGAGCTCCTGTGCCGCCATGGCACCAGCGTAGATCTCTGCCTTTGCACTGGACGAAGCCACAGACGACGACCATGTAGACCTCCACGACACAGCACCAGCACCCAGACTGAAGCAGTAACCCTGAGTCGAACGCTGAGTCTCCACCTCGTCAGCGTAGGAAGAGTCGTAGTGACCGGTCAACACAATTGGATGTGTCCCTCCAAGCACAAGCCCCATGCCTGATGTAGTCGCCAGATACTTCGCCACCCTCACAGCAGCTGTTCAGTGAACAGGACGGTGTCTCCCGGTCGCAACAAAGTGAGAAAGGACGTTGAAAGGAAAGGCGAGGTCCGGCCGAGTACAAGTCATCAGGTACATGAGGCAGCCCACAAGCTCTGCGTAGGGGCCACTAGACTCAAAGGACTCGTTGGGAAAAGGGCCAGTGAGTCGGTGGTCAACGGCAAGAGGAGAACTGAAACCCGAACCGCCGAAGGACCTGCTGCACCACGTGTGACTGAGTCAGTGTGATGGTGCGAGCGGCTCTGTCCCTGGTGATCTGCAGGCCAAGGTAGCGCTGCAGTTCACCGAGGTCAGTGCACTTGTGTCTCTCCTGCAGTTCAGATTTCACCTCAGCCAAAGCCGACCTGTTTGTTGTAGCAAAGACCAAGTCGTTGACGTACACTAGTGTAAAGAAAGGAGTGGAACCGATGCGAACAAACAGCGACGGGTTGGCAGAGGAAGGACGAAACCCAAGGTCACGAAGCGTGGAGCGAAGATTGTCGTGCGACTCACGGGGTGACTGGCGGAGACCGTAGACTGGCCGCCTCAGGCTCCACTAGGTCCCAGGTGGGAAGGTGCCAGTGAAGCCAGGAGGGCGGCGCAGCCATATCTCCTCGTGTAGGCGGCCCTGGAAAAATGCAGTGGAGAAGTCAAGGGAGTGCAGCTCGTAGTCTCGCTGTGCTGCTACGTGCAGTAACACCCGAAGAGTAGTCATCTTCGGGGTCGGGGCGAAGGTCTGGAAGAAGTCAACTCCTTCACGCTGACTGAAACCCCTAGCCACGTAGCGCACCTTACACACAGGCGGTGAACCAGGCGGCCGCTTCACCTTGAAGAGCCACATGCCATCGACAACGTTCGCCCTGGGAGGAGGAACTGCGTCGACGTACCTGCCTGTGGATTTCCATAGCCACTTTCCACTGAGAGGCCCACTCCCCTGACACTGCCTTACGGTACGTGCGAGGTGTCGGTATGTTAAGGGTGTCGGGGTCTCCCTCAAGGGAAATCAGCATGGCGCAGAGAGAGGGGGAAGCGGCTGCTAAGAACTCCAGCTCAAAACTACCTGTCCTCTAGGACGTCACAGCCAAGGGCAGACTCACCCCCGACGGACAGAGGACGGGGAGGTGGAGCAGCCACCACACGCGTTGCGTAGTCAAGACTGCATGTAGAAGCAAAGTCAGCGACAGTGGCAGTAAGAGCCGAGACAGACGACGGAGAGGCACGAGGGTCGGTGACAAGAGAAGCGAGAACATGAGAGACAACAGGGAGACCAGCACGGTAGTAGTAAGTGATAGGGTGAGAGGAAACGGTGAGAGACGACGCAGGAGGTGAGGGGAGAACAGACACAGGTGGAGAACGACGAGGAGGAGAACGAAATAAGACGGTGCGGAGGTCGGCAAGAGGAGACGAAAGCCGAGCACGTGGAGGACAATGACTGGTCCAGTCGTGCCGGACAACAGGAGGAGTCGACTGTGACTGAGGAGGAGAGAAAACAGTCGGAGTCGAGTCCGGAGGAGGAAACGTAGGACCGTACGCGGTAGGAGACTGTGAGTGAACAGGAGGAGAGGAAGGAAGACAAAGGGCCCGAAGGCCACTCACTGGAGGGAACAGCTGCTGCAAAAGTGACGATTGCTGCCGCCGCTGCTGCTGCTACTTCTGCTGCTGCTTCTGCTACTAGTCCAACAGCTGCAACTCCTGCCTCTCCTGCTCGAACTGCTCCTTCTCCTCGTGCTCAAGCCGGAGAAGGGCCTGGAAACGGGTGTCGTGGCGGTGGGGAGGCGCAGTGGCCGACGCAGTAGGCGAGCCTCCAGCTCCTGTCTCCTCAGTACCAGCTCCTACAGCGCCAGCACCTCCTGCTCCAGCACCCCCAGAACTAGCACCGCCAGTGCCAGCACCTCCACCTCCAGCACCCTTAGAACTAGCACCTCCAGTGCCAGTACCTCCAGCACCAGCACCCTCAGAACTAGCACCTCCAGTGCCAGTACCTCCAGCACCAGCACCCCCAGAACTAGCACCTCCAGTGCCAGTACCTCCAGCTCCAGCACCCCCAGAACTGGCACCTCCAGTGCCAGTACCTCCAGCTCCAGCACCTCTCGAACGGGCGCCACCAGACCGAGCACCGCCGGTGCCTGCACCTCTTGCTCCAACACCACCTTAGTCCACAGTAACATGTCGCGGAAGTGCCTGCTGAGGGGACTGTGAGGAGGACTGCGGGGAGGGAGACGCTACCTGACGCACGACCGAGGGCAGAGGGGTAGCATGAGACACACTTCACAGGGCAGGACCAGGGGGGGGCGGGGGTACCGGAGGAGCGGGAGCAGGGGGAGGAGAGGGTGCGAGGAAGAGGGGGGGAGGGGGAACCGGGAGACCTTGACAGGGGTACCGGGTGTAGTAGGACACGGACTCATCAAAGCGGACGTCACGGGAGTCGTGAAACTGGTGGAGGGGCGGGTGATAAAAGGAGTAGTCGGGAGAGCCCACCGGGAAACCAAGGAAGACACAGGGGATGGCGCGAGCCGAGAGCTTGTCCGCAGAGGTGTCGTGGACAAGCGCAAGGCAGCCCCAGACACGAAAGGCCAACCCAGCACCAGGGGACCTAGTCCAAAGACTGGTCGGTGAAACCTCTGGCCGCGAGACACGCGGCTGGAGGTTCAGCTGGTGCACGGCGTAGCGCAGCGCGTAGGGCCACAGAAAATGGGGCGCACGTGCATCGATCATGGATGTGCGGGTGATGTCCATGACCAAGCCAATGCGGCGCTCAGCAACCCCATTCTGTTGTGGGGATTGCGGTAGCGTCTAGGACTGTCTGATGCCCTGCTCGCCGCAGAACCCGGCAAGGACGCCGCAGCGAAACTCACCCCCACGGTCGGAGTGGAAACAACGGACACGCCTACCACGAATGCCCTCAGTGGCCAGAAGCCACCAGATCAGCGTAGAAGTCACCTCGGACTTCTTCGCGAGAGGAAACACCGTAGTGGACCTGGAGTACTCGTCAACGGCCACTAGAAAGTAGCGCTCCCTCTCAGGTCCCAGCATAGGGGCAGGGCCCCAGACGTCCAGGTGGAGAGTCTGGAAGGGAGCAGTGGCTGGACAAAGGGAGGAGGAGTGCGGAGTGGTGCGCAGGCGGCCGATGATGCAAGGAGTGCAGGGTGGGGCAAGCGAGGGAGGGAGCGACGGAAAGACGCGCGGGAGACCTGAGACAATACTGCGACTGACCATGCTGCGGAGGCGGGGGAGCGATAAGTGGCCAAGGCGGTGGTGCCACAAGACGGTCGGGTGGGCGAGGGACCAACAGGAGCAAGACGCAGCAACCTGACCAGAGGGGATGTGGAGGCCGCGCAGGATACCAGAGGGGACCACAGGGCACGGGAGGGTGGTGGAGGTGCGCGCAACGATTGGTCCTGAAGAAGGATCAGCCAGAGCTACCGGAACCGGAGCAAGGAGTGGTGTGAGGGTCGTGTGGTCGCGGGAGGAACACTGCGACGCGCCAGAGTGCAACGTGAACGACAGAGACGCCTCAGCCGGAGGCGTGTCAGGTCCGGAGGCTACACAAGCACCTAGAGCAAAGACACAAGCACCTAGACTAGAGAGGCACTGGTCTACACTAATAGGAGGCAAGCATCCTAGACTACGAACACGTGAGCACACAGATCCATCAGCACTATAGTCAACATCAGAATACAAAGCATACTGACTAGCATCGTCCATAGACAAATCAAACACAGGAATCTTACGGGCTAGCAGGCGAGCCCAGCGCGAGGTGGTCGCCTCTGGACCACAGCGTGCACGGTAGAGGTCATTGAGGTGGCGGAAGCACCGCGCCGCAGAGTGGTCGTCGCGGCCGCAGACACAGGGACTGCCCGGTCCGATGACGCACCAGTGGTCGCAGGGGCCGGTGTCGCGCCGCGGGGGGCGAGGTGCCCAGCTGGTAGTGCTGCTGCTGCGGCCAGTGCTCCTGGGTCCTCCAGGTCCCGACTGTGGCGGAGGGCCCCAGTGCTGCTGTGGACCCCACTGCGTGGGGGTCCCCACGACTGAAACTACTGTGGTGCCTGCCACTGTTGCTGTCCCTGCTGCTGCTGTTGTCTCTGCTGTGGCTGCTGCTGCTGTGGCTACTGCTGCTGGGGCCCCGCACCACCGCTGGTCGAACCTCCTCCAGCAGTCGGGTCAGCACCTCCTCCAGAGCTCCCTCCGCCTGGGGCACCACCACCACCGCCACCACTGCCGCCCCCAGGGCCGCCTCCACCACCGCCACCTCCGCCACCCCTTCCCCCCTTTCTTGGCTCCCTTGCCCCGTGTCTGCCTGTCAGCGGCAGAAACAGCTGCCGAGATCGACACAGCAACAGGGTCACGAGTAGCAGTGAAGGTAGGAAGCTGGGGGAAAGCACACCCGTCAAACAGACGAGGGGCAACTGCATTAGTGGCTGAGGCAACAGAGAGGAGGTTACTCTCGATCTTCCCGAGAGTGGTCTCGAGAAGATCAATCGTAAGCTCACTGGTGTGCTACTGGAGAAGTGCGTCACGCGCAGTGGACAGGCGGTCAGGGAGACGAGTGACTACCCAGTGGATGGTGAGCCAGATAGGAGGAGGGGCAACAAGAAGCTGAGCCTCAGTACAAGCTGCTCGGTAGCTAGCGACAAGGGAGCGCAAGTGTGTGGATAGGTCGAATACAGTTGCAGACGAGCCGAGGTCGAGAAACACGAACGGCATGAGGATGCGGCTGAGGGAGGCAGAGGAAGGGGTGGAATAGCGTGCAGAAATAGCATCATACACCTCCTTCGCAGTCTCTACCAGGTCAAAGTGAGCAGCCTCAGTCGGTGGAAGGAGCTCGGTCAGCGCGATTGCAGCTGCAGCGTCAAGGGAGTCCCAAACGTCCCGCGCCAAGACGAGACGAGCGTAGTCCGCATGCGCCTCTGGAGTCAGGGGGGGCACCCACTTGATGCATACGGTACACCCTCCTGCCTTGTGCAGAAGGCATAGCCATGTGGCCACACAAGGGATGTTGAAGAATCTCCCCTCGTTGCCTTCGCGCACCTTCATAGGCACGACTCGAAGGCACTTGAAAGCCATCACTGATGTGGCTGTGAAGCAGGCCCTCAGATTGCAGGAATTTTACCCTGATTTGGGGTTTGAACGCTGATTTTCAGGGTTTTTTAGGCCCGGAGGCTGATTGGAAAGTTCAAAATTTTATCCCCACACTGATTCTTAAGCTAACTTTCTTGTACTAAGCCTGAAAATTCAGCCAACTTTTACCAGGGCGCCCTGACTTGAATCCCACTGTAGCGAGGTAATAGTTGACGAAATTGCCTAGATTCATGGAATCTGGCAAGAATTCCCCCACATTCTCCTTCGAAAGAAGTCAGACGGGTGAGAAACAGGCGACAAGATTCGAACTCGAAACCTCATACTTCAAAAATCTCGAGTCTACCCAATTGTTAGGCCCCTTGGCCTAAATCCGCTAAAGCTAAGCGGGGTCGACTAAGTCGAGGATGAAAGCGCGGCGGAAGACTTTGGCGAAAGAACTATTGACGAAATAGGCGAAGATGTTACTGAGTAACTGAACAGTTGAATGAGAATTGGTTGATATTGGGGAATATTTCAAGGTTGATATAGCATGCAAGATTGAATGATGGAAAGTACTTCGTGGGACTAGAAAGTAGAAGCAAGAAAAGTAGAGTGCCACTTGGCACAAGGAAATCAAGAAAGATAAGGATAAGGGTGAGTTGGAAAGTACTATTCAAAAGGAACAGTAAATTCCCCCTTAACACTAACCCCCTCCCAAGGAGGCGACGTCCGCGGCGCCTGCAGACTGAAGGTACGCTTGGAGGCAAGCGTTGTCGGGAGACAGCGAGGACAAAGGAACCCAGCTGTCGTCGGCTGCATCATAACCACGCCAACGAACCAAGAAGTCGATGAAAGAGACACCCCCCTGAAGGCGGCGACGGTGCCTGAGGATGCGCTGAATTTGGTAATCGGGCTCGTCAGTGTCAACAACGACCGGTAGTGGAGTGCGATAACGACCCGAGAAGGTGGCGTTGGGATCGGTGTATGGACGAAGGAGAGACAAGTGGAATGATAGGTGCATGCGGAAATGAGCAGGAAGGCGGAGGCGGTATGCGACTGGACCTAGTGCGCGCTCAATGACGAATGGACCAATGAAACGAGGGCGAAGCTTGCTGTCCTGTGGCAGTCGGAGGTTGCGGCGGTCGAGAAGGACACTGTTGCTAACTGAAAATGACACATCACGACGACTGCGGTTGGTGATGCGTGCCATGCGTGCATTTGCGAGCTCAAGGTGCTTCCTCACGTGATCATGAATGAAGGTGAGATGCTGGTGGAAGTTGTCCGCACGAGGGACAGTGGGTGTGAGATCGACACGAGTGGGGACATTGGGGTGCTGACCGTACTGTGCCAAAATTGGTAACATGCCTATGGTCGAGTGATGGGTGTTGTTGTAGGCGAACTCGACCATGCTCAGCTTCTTGTCCCATGCGGTTGCGTCGTGCATCGTGATGCTGCGAAGAATCTGCTCCAAGGTCTGGTTCATACGCTCGGTCTGTCCGTCTGTCTCTGGATGGTACGCAGACGATATGGCTAAACGAGTCCCAAACAGTGCGAAAAGCTGCTTCCGAAACTTCGAAGTGAAACGAGGGTCGCGGTCTGAGATGATGGAATTTGGAACCCTGTGCAGTCGGACTACGTTATCTACGAACAACGTCACGACTTCCTCTGCTGTGACCTTGCCGTGCGTGGGGATGAAGTGCGCTGCTCGAGAAAACTTATCCACTACCACGAAGATGGCGTCGTGACCCCTAACTGTGCGCGGTAAAGCCATGATGAAGTCCATCGTAACTACCTGCCAAGGACGGTCGGGTGGTGGAATCGGCTGCAAAAGTCCTGCTTTGCGCTGGCGAGAGGACTTCGTACGCTAACACGTGTCGCACAAGCGAATGTAATCCTCTACGTCTGCTGCAGGCCCTGGCCAAAAGTACGTGCGACTAAGCGTCTTAGCCGTCTTATCTGCTCCAAAGTGACTCGCGCTAACTACATCGTGCCCCTCGGAAAGAAGAAGCTGTCGAAGAGGGCGGTAGGCGGGAACCCAAATCCGTGTGGTACCCTTCCATATGTAGACACTACCCTGCACCTCTGCTCCTGCGGGCGGCTACGGTGTGAAGTCGGGATCTACTGTGTAACCGTGCTCGAAGAGTGCTGCGAGAAGTGGATGGCCGGCAGTGACTGTGAGGCTAGCGAGCTGGCAACTAGGGCGAGTGAGCGGGTCTGCTGGGTTGCAAACGCCTGGCTTGTACTCTACCCTGTAGTGGAAACTCCCCTCCATAAACTCCATACATCTAGCCTGGCGACGACTCAGCTGCGGCTGCGACTTGAGGAGACGAAGCGAGCAATGGTCCGTGCGTATAACACTATCTGCCCCCTCTAGGTAGCACCTCCACACCTTATACGCATGGATAATCGCGAGCGCCTCCTTGTCGTGAATCGGATAGTTCAACTCCCGAGTTTTGAGCCCTCGACCAACATATTGGACACTCCTATTGGTTCGCGGGCCAATATCGTTTTCACTCCCAACCAACGGTTGGCCTGCGGGTTTTAAGGACCCTGACATAGTTTTTTTTCAAGGACCAACACTGACAAGAAAGCGTGGCCCAAAACGAATCTGAGGCCCTGCTGTGAAGAGAGAACCTGAGCATTTAAAAAAAAAAAAAAAGGGAAGTGCAAAATTACACGCCAGAAAGAAAGAAGCCAGCAATTTGACGTACGGCATGTAAGCTGAACACTGAACGTACCTAACTCAGATGAGCAATCATATCAGGGCATAGATAATTTGGCGTGGGCATGACAGGCCGCTTCACAAGCTCCTCCGGGTCCTTAGGGCGAGGGACACGAGGGTCGCTGTAATACACAGGGCACACACCAACCTGCTCAATGCTGCTGTTGTCGCCACTGCTGTCGCTGCTGCTGCTGCTAACTGATGCGTTTTCCTCCTCTTCCTCGGTTGGTTTCATGGCATCCAATAGCAGAGTACCACGTGATGGTTGTCAAACGGTTCCCAAACCAAACAGGTATGCTGCTGCTTGCTGCTCATGGCTGTCAGACAGTATACGGATGCCGTGCACTAGCAATGACCTGTATTTCACTCTGCAGTGCCTCAGGTTGACTGTGCTCATGCACTGCTGGCGTGGGCTGTTCAGAATGAGTCTGTGCAGCGAGGGTCTGCCCAGCATAGTCCTGAGGCCGAGGAAAGGAAAGGAATGGGAGCAGAGGCCCGGCCTCAAGAGACAAAGGGGATGCCGGACGGCACAGAGGCAGCGTACCGTGCGTACTCAAGGCCAAAGAAGAGGTGCATATAGAACTCCTCGTAGCTGGGGGGGGAGGAAGGGGTAGGGGCACGGGAGCAGAGGAAATAGCATGATGAGTTGAAGGGAACGCTGGATGGCACCAAGGGGGGGATAGAACGCCGGAGGAGGCAATGTGTACTCGAGGCCGAAAAACTGGTGCAGCTAGAACTGCTCATAGCTGGGATTGGAGGAGGGGAAGGGGGGGTTGGGGGAGGGGAAGAAGAGGGGGGGTGTGGGGTGTAAAGGGGAGGGTGGGGCATGGGAGCAGAGGCACCGAGGCAGCGTATCGCACGTGCTCAAGGCAAAATAACTGGTGCAGATAGAACTCCTGGTAGATGCGGGGGGGGGGGAAGGAGAGGAGGGGGGAGAGAGAGTGGGGGTTGGTAAAGGGGAGGGTGGGGCATCGGGGCCGAGGGCACGGCGCAGTGAGACAAAGGGGAAGCTGGAAGAACTAGTGCACGTAGAACTGGTGCAGGTAGAACTGGTGCAGGTAGAACTGGTGCAGGTAGAACTAGTGCAGGTAGAACTGGTGCAGGTAGAACTAGTGCAGGTAGAACGATCCCCCATCAGTGGGCACGAGAGCACCCAATCACCCATCATCCGCCCACTTGTACTGCCCCATACCTGAACGATCCCCCATCCACCCAACCGACTCCCACCCGTACAGCCCGTGTGTGACCAGCAGGTGTTCGCGCCGCTTCTCCGTCTGAATGTCATGTATGAAGCTCCGCCCCGCCGTCACCATGGCTGCCTTGCGCACCGCTTCCCCCGCCAGCAGCAGCGCCCCCCCACCCACGCCACGGGCCACAGGCGGCGCTTCAAGGCTGGGAAGAGGGCGGTCTCGAGGGCGTATTCAGTGAGCGTTGCTGCCATGGCGAGCAGATTCTCCCGCGAGACGAGGAACGCTGCATGGCTATCGGGAGCTGGGGTGCGGTGGAGAGGGATGGGAGCGGGAAAAGAGTGTGTGGGGAGGGAGGGAAGGCGAAAATTGAACAGACCACCACCAGCAGCAGCACCCCCACGACCAGCGGGGCTCCACAACAGCGCAGGTGGTTCTTGAGAATCCTCAGCCCCGATCTGTGGCACGTCGCGCAAAAGCGCAGGCGGTTTGAGAATCCTCAGACACCACCTGCAAAAACGCCATGGGCCACAGAAAGGGGCAAGGCGGTGGGGAGCGCAAAGGAGCAGGATGAGGGTGGGCGGCCCGGAAATAAGGAATGAAAAAGGATGGGAAGGATGAGACTGGCGGGATAGATGTGGGAGGGGAGGGGCATTGCTTGCAGCGTTGTGAAGGGAAGTTCCTCCCGTGCGACAAAGACGGTGGACTGCTGGGGGGAGGGGATGGGTAAGGCAGGGGGGATGGGAGAGTGGAGGCGCGTTGGAGTGTCAACACAGCACCCCGCAATCAGCGCCCTTGCCAGAAACGCGGAGGAGAGGGGACGGATTGGCGGAAGGGGGACGGATGGCGGAGGGGGGACGGATTGGCGGAGAGGGGACGGATTGGCAGAGGGGGGACGAATTGGCGAGTAGGCGGAGAAGGCGACGCAAGCGAGGAGAGAAAGGAGCAAGAAGCGGAGGAGGCGAGGCGAGGCAAGGCGAGGGGAAGGAGGCGAGGGGAAGGCGAGGCGAGGCGAGTGGAAGGCGAGGCGATGCGACGCGACGCGAGGCGAGGCGACTGGAAGGCGGGAAGGTGGGAAGGCGAGGTGAGGCAAGGGGAAGGCGAGGCGAAGGGAAGGCGAAGGGGCGTACATCGGAGGTCGGGTTTGCCGGTGGACCAGAGCGCGAGAAGGAACTCGGAAGAATGGAAGAAGACGAGCGCCGCGAGGAACGCCACCTGCATCGTGCTTGCCCCGTTGTATCTACTACACGAGACGACGCGATCGCTCGTTAGTTACCTTCGACGATTTTATTACTACAACTCAAGTAGGACGCGATCACTTGTTTTAGAGGCTTGAGACTTTTGAAGCACCTCAGAACTCGGATGAATGGAAGTCGACGATCTCCGCTGCGAACGCCGCCAGCATTGTTACGACGATGCGTTATATCGGTCACTTGTTTCTTTCAAGGCTTCTACTACTACTCCTCGTGCGATGTGTTGTGTGAGCACGTTTGGCGATTTGAGAATCAATTAGATAAACAAGACTCGAATCTAGACTAGATCGTCGGACTAAGTACTTCGGCGTACATCACACACGTAGGAGGGATTTACGAAAACACACAGGTAGCTCGGGTCATACTTGCGCTGCGACAATCAAGCTTTCGCGAAACTAAATTGGTGAAAGCCAAGGTCTGGTCCATGCCCACGCCCTTAGGGCGTGTAAAGTCGTGCCACAACAAATTTTGGGAAAATCCGTCGGGCCGTTGTTGGCGAAAGTAACCATTTTACGACACTCGCCATGTTTCAGGTGAAGCTCGTTAATTTCGCCAAATCGCGAAATACTTGATGGCCGTTTCAGCGAACCGACACGACAACGACGCCGAGTCGACTCGCAAACGGCCACGAAGCCGACTAGTCAGTGCGACAGATGTGCCCATCGTCGCACAAGCGCCCTGCGATAGAACGAGTGGTTATGCCACTACTGGAGTCAAATGTGCGACTGGGTCGCAAAGTGGCTGGTTTGTGCGAGGCTGCAAATTTGACATGTTTGTTCATGCGGCCCGCAAATCGGCCTGCAAGCTTGTCAAGTCTGCAAAATCGCAAGTACAGGCCGTTTTGGTGGGCGACCAAATGTCGACCAAGTGGTCGTTGTTCGCGAAAGAAATAACGACCAAAAAGTCGTCGGATTTCCAACCATTTGCAAATTTCGCAAATGGTGCGCGACTTTACACGCCCTTACCAAGCGATGAAGCCATAGAACCGCCCTGTGCACAAAAAACGTTCTAAACCGTATTTGGACCTGCTCCACGCCTCCGGTTCCCAGAAGCGAAACCTGCCACGCCTCAGAATTTGTTGAACCGTTTTTAATCGTGAGAGATCCAACCGAACCGTGTTGTCTGAACAACGTCAGAAGAACTCCAACCCACAACTCCAATCTTCAATTCCCGAGGTTTTTCCCTCCACTCCCTCCCCCAAGTAACACGTTCCTGAAATGGTCGCGCTAGCTACAATCATCATTCCTAAGGCCAACGATGAAAGCCACACTAATTTGGCTTTCCCGCCTCGAAGCTTTCTGCAGCCCTAGAAACTGCCAGCCCACTCACGATGTGGCAAAGCCATTGTCATTTCAACCGAATTCACAGATTAGCAATGGAAGTAGTCTCGAGGTCAGGTTTCCCGCCTCACAGCTTTCTGTACCCCTACAAGCTGCCAGACCTCTCGCGGTATGGCAATCCCGGTGTCACCTTGATGGCATTCGAACCTCATCAATACCGCTAGGCACGGAAAGATAAATCTGGCTGATTCCGAACGTCCCATATCAGTACGGGCACTTCTTTGCCACTTTCCTGCCTCTCCTTACGCACCGTCGCTGGCAACCAGAACTCCGTCACACCATAGATCGCACCACCCCGACTTACCCGCTCATCAATCCGACTCGCTTGAAGTGTAGATTCAGCATTTGCTTGCTTTACATTCGCCACCCTTCGATCCCATCTCTTACGTGGTCCGCTAGGTTTGATCCGCCATGGACACGCTTCCCGCCGACCTCCTTTACTCCATTCTACTCCGCGCCGAGCCAATCCTAGGGCCTCATGTATTATTAGCGCATATTGCGTGCCTTTCAAAAGCACTTAACCGCATGGCAAGGGAGTCCCTCTGGCAGCTGCACTGCAGGGCAAGACTCGCTGAGCTCTTCGCGGACCAACTCGAGGATGTGATTTTGGATGGCGACGAGGCGTATGAAACATCCATGCGCGGAGATTATCAACGCATGCTGGAGCGGATGGATGGGGTGGACTTTCGAGCGCTCGCACAAGTTATCCACTGGTGCCCGGGCGTGATAAGGGGGTGGCGAGTTGGCGAGGACGAGCAGGAGCGTGACATTGATAAGCCGCACAAGCGCAATCATTGGTCCGCCTTTCATCACATCTCTTTTGATAGTATGGCTTTGACCATTCGGTGCTTCTGTCATCGACACGGACTGGAGCAGACCGATCGTTTGCATCTTAAACAAGGACTTAATCTTGGCATCGATCTTGACATGTAAGACCACCGCTTCTAGCGCGCCTCTTTCTTTCTAGTGCTCTGCTGCATTATCTCCAGCTTGCTCTAGAACGGTCTTGTTAACCGAATGAAATGGTAGGGCAAACATGGTTTCGTGCAATTCTATCAGAGACTAGGCAACGACGGGTAGGCTCGCGGGTAGGTGCAGAGGTGCCACGGGTAATGGCAAGGTAGGGAGGGGAGGAGGGAGGGGTGCGAGAGAACTGGGGTATGGGAATGGCATTCAAGGCTTGTATACCAACCAGCCAGCCTGTCAATCGAATATCAGGCCATTAGGGCGCCCTTGGTGGTGTCGCGTCTGGGAGGCGTTGTCACTTGTGAAGGGTTCTGGCCCTCCTGGACCTAGAGAAGGTTATTAAAAATGGTGAGTCATAGGCTGATTGCCGTCTGGGATCTGCTAAGTAGCTTCTAATGAAAGAAAAGACAATCTAGAAGTTCATTTCTGAACAGGGATTGTTTGTTGCTGCTTTTATCTTCTCAGGATATCCTTTGTCTTGCCATCAGGTGGTATTTTGTTCATACACATACTGGTCGCTCCTTCGTGCAAGACGATTCCTGCCCTTTCTGCTCCTCTAAGGTGTGTCTAGTTCATTAATTTGTCCAGTGCAATAGACAAATCATAGCAGATTATTGTTAAGAAGAGATGAACCTAAAATATCCCTATCTAAGTTTTCTCCTTTTTTCCCTTTGACAATCAGAGACACTTTGTTTGAATTGTTTGGCAGGTCTGGGACACGAGTGAAGGCTGGGTGCGCACCTCAAATGTGAATAGTGGATCCAACACCAAAAGCACCAAGCAGCTCCCAATCGCCGTTCGATATACTTGCACCCAAGTGCGTCCCGCCAACAACCCCAATAACATGTCTTTTCTCTCTGCTGGTAGCATAACCTCTGACGGTGGAACGCTTGAGATTAAGTAAGGATTTCTTACACCATCAAGTAACCATGTCTTATGTGCCTGTTCGTAAATCCTCTTGCAGGGACATTTTTACTCAGCTGAAAGCGATAGAGCGAGAGAAGTTGCGGCAGGACCAGTTTTGGCAGAGGAGGGAAGGGCCGTTGACGAGGAGAGGGAGGAGGGGACACTGCAAAGTATGGAGGATGGGGGTCACCACGAGGAAGCTGGCATCAGTTACTGTGCCAACCCTCTGGCTTCTCCTTTTTCTGTAACTCCTGCTGCTCCTATTGCCGCTCCTGTAGTTGCTCCTCTTTCTGTCGCTCCTCTTGCCACTCTTCATACTGTTCATCTTGCTGCTCCCCCTGCTGCTACAGCCAGCCGTGCCACAGCTAGTACAGCCAGCCGTGCCACAGCAAGTACAGCCAGCCGTGCCACAGCGAGTACAGCCAGCCGTGCCACAGCTAGTACATTCAGCCGTGCCACAGCTAGTACACCCAGCCGTGCCACAGCTAGTACAGCCAGCCGTGCCACAGCTAGTACATCCAGCCGTGCCACAGCTGCTACTGCTGTTCGGGCTACAGCCATTGCGGGTCCTCATGCGGCGTTCTTTCATGCCCATCACGCTGCTGCACCAACTGTCCGGCATGCTGCCGCCTCTTCAGGTAACCACCATCCCCAATGGATGGAGGGGGGGGGGGGGGGGGGGGGGGGGAGGTTGGCAGGGTCGGTCGGTAGGTGCGAGGGTAGTAGTATGGCAGAGGGGTTTGAGGGAAGCTAGGCAGGGATGGGGGATGGCATGCAGGCACAGAGGGAGAGGGGGTTGGGATGGAGGGAGGTGGTTGGCAGAGAGAGAGGGGAAGAGGTTGACAGGGAGAGGGGAATGTTGGCAACGAGGGAATAAGGAGGTCGGTAGAGATTGGGGTGGGGAGGGGGGAGGGAAGGGGGGAGGAGGGGGATGGACCTTTGCAGTGATTCGGATGGGGAAGGTTGGCCGAGGGGATAAGGTGGGCATTAGAGGAGAACGTGGGCAGGGAGGGGAGGGATGTCAGCAAAGCGATTGGGAGAGGACTTGAGATAACGGTTGGCAGATTGCGTGAGAAAATGTTGGCAGAGTGGGGGGCGTTTGGAGGAGGGAGTTGGGGAGGTTGGGAGAGAGTGGGAGGTTGGCAGGAAGGGGTAAGGAAGTTTGGCACAGGAGGTGGCAGAGGGAGAGGGGGAAGGTGGCAGAGGGAGAGGGGAAGGTGGCAGAGAGAGGTGGGGAAAGTGGCAGAGAGAGCGGGGGAAGGTGGCAGAAAGAGAGACAGCGGGGGAAAGTTTGGCAGGGGGGGAGTTGGCAGGGGGGGAGGTTGGCAAGCGGTCAGCTGTGAGGGGGGGGCTACAAGCTGGGAGGGAGAGGGGCAAGCAAGGCAGAGAGTGGGAGAGAAGGCTGGCAGGGATGGAGGGGGGAGAGGAGAGAGAAAGTGAGAGAGGCTGTCGTGGATGGATGGATGGGGTTCAGATGTCTGTGCTTTTTTTCCCATGGTGCCAGAGAAGCGGACCCTGCTGTTGCCGGCTTGTCATCCCACGGCAGTCACACTTTTGAGTCTCCAGTCCCACTTTTGACTCTGCTGTTCGGAATATTTCGCACTGAATGAGCTTGGCAAGTGCAATATTCTCTTGTGTTGTGATTTCATTTTTTTTCCCCACACCTTTTACCATTTTTTTCCCACATTCCGTACCAATTCGTTGTGTCTTGTATTCTCATGCTCGTTTTCGCACTTGTGCGCTTGCTCCCATGTTCCAATCCCATGCTACAGCCCATGTTTCTCGCCTTTCCTCTCAACGTGTTGCATCTGCCGCTGCCACTCGCACTACACCCATAACTGCGCCTTGCACCACCATTCGAGCTGCTTCCCGCGCTGCCACCCGGTCCGCTTTGGTGCCTCACACTACTGGCATCACTGCCAACCGCATCACAATGAACACGGCCACCCACGCCACCGGCGTCACCACCATCCGCACCACCAGCACCACTGGTGTCCGCACGAACAGAACCATCGCCGCTCGCACTAACAGCACAATTGCAGCCTGCACCACTGCCACCACAGCCACCACTGCCACCCGCATTACCGGCAAAACTTCTGCCCGCATTACCGGCACAACTGCCGCCCGCATCACCCGCTCCATTCCCCCCCACACTACCAGCACTACCGCCACCCGCGTCGCCGACACCATTGCCGCCCGCACCACCAGCAGCACTGCAGCCCGCACTAACAGCAGCACCCCATCGCGCACTAATAGCAGCACTGCCAGTGGCAGCACGGGCGCAGTGACTTGTTACGGGGTGGCAGCTGCCTCTGGTGCCACACGGTCTGGCTGGAGCAGTCCGTTTTCAGCTGCCGATTCGCACGCCAATGCGTGTATTGCTGGAGGTAAGCCTCGGCCATGTGTGTCCGTGCGTGCAGTGCAGTCACAAGCACTGGAGGTAAGCCTCGGGCGTGCTGGTCGTGGTGGTGGTGCATGTGGAGACAAGGCACTACAAGACAACGCTGAAAATCATGAGGAAGGGGAACATAGGATGGCCTTGATGGCGAGATGGGGGGTTTTCTATTCCACGTGCTAAAAAGTTCACTTCCATCGCTTGGTGCATGCCGACCTCCTCAATTCTGCGCATGTGTCTAGTCCATCTACTATATGGTGGGCAACTAGCCCTTGCAGCTCAATTTATCAGTTCATCAAGCTATCATTATCTTAGCTGCTCCAGCTGTATCCCTCAATGCCATATTCCATTCGTGCCCTAAGCCAAGTTCATCACGCCTAAACTTATTCTCCCATCTGACTTACTCATCCCATCCCAACCCATCTATCCGGTCCTTGTTTGTGGGCTTCCCTGCTCCCAACTGAGGGCACGAATGCTGAGTCGAGGTCCGCAGAAGTGGCAGCAACACCCCCTCTTGCACCCATTCTGATCTAATGTAAAACAAATGCATTTTGTCAACCAAGCTGTCCCAGTGTCACTTGCGGCTGTGTAAGCTACTTGTTTCCATGACGTGCTGATCGTGGAGAGTCTGTTCCTCCGACTTCGAACTGCTGGGTGGCACATCACTTGTTCCATGATCAAGCGTTACAGCGGCGCGTACAACACCGACATGGCACATTGGCCGCGTTCTCTTTCACCTCAACGTTAGCACGGTTCTGCTGGCATTCTTTCTGACGCACAATATAAGAGGGCTAGTTTCCATGTTTCTGCTCGCACCTTATTGATGTTGGAAACAATCGGTTCTAAGCGCCTCTGTCGTGTCGAAACACTAAGGCACAAGCAAAGCAGAGCATATCGAGGCACCAGCGAGTCAACCCGTGGAGGTTGAAGTAACCGCTGGAGGTTACGGGAAAGTCAAAGGTCAGCGACCTTTGACTTGACAAAACACAGCGCGACAGCAAGGACACAGAACTGACTCGACATTGAGCAGTTGCCCGAGTCGCACTGTATCGAGCCGCAACAGTAAAACAGCTGAATTTTATCTCTTCGTATTCCTTGTACTCTTATATAAACCTTTGTACTTGCTTGTTTCAATCAACTTACTTTGCCCTCACATACTAGCGCAAGGTGGTTCAGAATCTCTTTATTAACGCTTCCGCTACTACATCACTCTACCCAGAGTCTAACCCTACCAAAGATACTAAGGGGCACTCAGCCCAACATGGTATGAGAGCTGGTTAGGGTTAAAATTCTATTTCTCCTTAAACACCTAATACACCAAGAGACATGTCTACCAGAAAGGAGAGTAGCTCCTCCAGCGGCTCTCCTGGTACTACTCCTACTCCACCTCCTGTCTCTGGCCTACAGACAGAGGAAGGGACAACAACGAGACCGGCGGCTGGGTCTACTGAAACACCCGCAAACCAAGGCGCGGGCTTCGATCCAAGCATGATGGAGAATTTCTTCTCCTTCATGTCCTTCTACGAGCAGCATCAGCAAGGAGCACCTACGCAATCAAACAACAGCAACATCAACAACAACGTGACGCCTATGAGTCTCGATGGCTCCTCCTACGCACGTGGGAATCAACAACAGCAACCTACCTTCGCTCCGTACGAGCCCCAGCGCGGCTCCGTCAGCTTCATGCCACAACCACAATCTGCACCGGGACAAGAGAGAGCACTGGACGCACTACAAGTTCAGTCGCAGTTCGCGCACGTTCTAAAACTGCAAACGACAAAACCCTTCGACGGGAAGGATTTCTTTACCTGGTCGTTTGAATTCGAGCTGATGATGGAAAGAGCGCAAATCCTTGGCTTCTTCGACGGGTCCCTGCCATACCCAACAAACGGCACGCAGTATGAGAAGCAGCAGTACACCTATCGATCGATGATGGCGTACACGATATTACTGAGGAACGTCACTCCAACTTAATAACAAAACATACGGTCTTACCGAGGCTACGGCAACTCCGCGGAGCTCGCGTACAATCACTTGAAGAGCCTGTATCAAGCAACAGACAGCGTAAACCAAAGTCGGTTAATGGCGCACCTGACAACGGTTGAAATGAAATAAGGGGAGAAAGGAATGGCGTATATCAGTCGATGTCGCGAGTTGCACGACAAGCTTCTTCGATGCGGAGGGTCGATTTCTGAAGACGCCTTCGTGACACTCATCATTGGCAGACTCAGTCCTCAATGGCGCGCCACAAAGGCCATCCTCCGAGCTCACGCAAGAATCTCCGAAGTAGCACTCTGCGCCGAAATCCATGCTGAGCAGCAAGACATGGACCTGCAAGAAGAACGACACAGAAAGAAGACATCAGCACCGGAATTCGCGTTCCACACTCAGCGACGTTACAATAACAACAACAACCGGCAGCAACACCCAAAGCCAATACCTCCGTTCTGCCACATCTGCAAAACTTCAGGACACCCGCGTACACACTGCCGGAATCGACAACAGTCAACAACTCCATAGCGGCAACTTCGACCTTCAAGCAGTCAAGTCGCCTCAACACAAACAAATCCGACAACTTCAGTACAAGTCTCAACAACATCGACGGGACAACCTGCAAAAGAAACAAGAAACATCGTCAGCTGCATGGCAAGGCTGAGTGACTCCTGCATAACTGAGTCACCACCATACTATTCACCAGAAGAACAACTCGACAACAGCACACCTCGTCGCGAGTCACTTCAACCGAACTTGACGTACGCCGCCATCGCTCAAAGCGAGCCGTCCGAGAAGGATACATGGTTCTTGGACAGTTGCTGCGGACAGCACATGTGCTCCTCGGGACACTTCGTTCAACGCGAGCACCGACTTCAACGAGAGGTTGTCATCACAGTCGCCAACAATCAGAACCTGCAAACACGACGACAAGGTATAGTTCAACTTCAGTCAAGGGAAACAAGCGTTATACTGCAGATGTCAAAACTACTAATCGCGGAGGGACTCGGCTACAGCTTACTGAACGTCAGCCAGCTAATGGCAAAGGGGATTCACCTCGAAGCAGACAGCACCACCCAAGAATTCAAGTTTTATCACGGGAGAGGAGGTCTCTACATCGGCGAGGCGGTCCTTAAGAACAACGTCTTCGTCCTCGATTTTTTCCCTGACCTTGGCACCGCCGACAGCGACGCCATCGTTAACTTCACCGACTGGACACATCCTCCAGACCTTGATCTAGACTTCAGTCCAGAAGGCTTTTGGTATTCACATACCATTCTTGAAGCAGAACGAACACGCGCGTTAGTAACAATACAACATTCAACAGCAGCAGAGACAACATCGGCAGCAACAACACCGGCAGCAGCAGAGACAACATCGGCAGTAGCAGAACCATCAACGGCAGCAACAGGAACGTCAACACCAATCACTGGTACTTCAACAACACCGCTCCTCATCGACGACACACCACCAACACTAGCACAACAGCTCCACCCAGCACCACGAGAAGTTCATCGTAGCGCAAACTTCACCGCCAGCTTTTACTCCAACTCCGATATGTACCGACGATCACCCGGACATCACGCTGACGAAAGCACCTGGCACGCAAGGATGGGACACCCAAGCAACACAGTCTTAAACAATACGATAAGAGCAGGAGTACTCGACAAGGACTCACTTCTGCTGACCGACGGACGAGAACTCCAGCGAGTACGAGGAACGTGCTTCACCTGCCCCGAAGGTGACTTACCACATCGACCGTTTACGCCTCATCACAACCCGAGCGCACCCGCGTACGCACCACTCGAAAAGGTGTATAGCAACATCCTATTCAATCGGGAACCAGGACAAGTAACATACAACTACACGATCACCTTCATCGACGCCGCCAACCGCTACGTCTGGCACTGCAACCTCCCTAGCCGCGACATGGCACTCGCAGCCTTCGTTGCCTGGCTACCACTAGCAGAGAGAGAATCAGGCGTACAACTGAAAAGCCTTCAGTCAGACGGAGGAGGAGAATACACCTCTCAGCGATTCAAGCAGTACTTGGCGGAAAGGGGAATCAAGCAGCTCATCTCCCTTCCCTATGCCCATCAGTAGCAAGGTGTAGCAGAAAGAATGAACAGGACTCTGCAGAACAGCATGCGCAAACTGTTACGTGGCATGCGGCTACCCAACCACCAGTGGCCTGCAGCAATGGACCACGCCGTCATGCTGCACAACTTGCTGTCGTCATCATCGCTTCCGAACAACGCATCACCACATCTGCTATGGACAGGGAAACAGGGCAGCACAAAAATGTTACGAGTTTTCGGATGCATGGTACAGTACCGACCCCTAGCAGCACGAGCGGGCCGATTTTCACAACGCGCACAGTGGGGACTACACCTCGGCATCAAAAATAACTACAACGCATGGAAAAACTTCAACGTCCACTCCAAGGAAACAGTAGCAGCACGTGATGTAATTTTCTACGAACGACTCACGCTCCAGACATACCTTGCCAACTTGCAAGAAGACGAAGATCCCACAGGTGGTTTTCGTGGTGACCGAGCCTTCGCCTCTGCAGCGGACGAAGCTGACTGGGACGAGCAGAATATGGACAACGTGTCAGAAGAAGCCAGACCTCTTCCGTTCTGCTCCGTCGACGTTCCCATGGACGAAGACAACCCTCGCGAAAGTGCCAACGCCGAAACCTTCTACCATTTCGCTGACAGCGGTTACGTAACACCTGCAACTGTCAACACCAACGAAGCCAAACGAGTAGGACCAAATTTCTTACCCGATCCAGAAGCGGGAG